ATGAATATATTTTTATGTACATATATATATATATGTATATATGTATATATATATATATATATATATAATATATATATAATATATATATATATATATATATATATATATATATATATATATATATATTAATATGTAACTAGCAGTAAGCAACCCGTAATACGCGTTGTTAGTAAATTAAATAAATAAAAAAAAATCCGCGTATGGAAAAGCCTAAAAACTACTTTAAAATAGAAAAGCCTAGAAAATGACGTAACTCGACTAATAATAATATAAAATTAGCGTATTCATATGATTATATAATAATGTTATACAATATCAGATTCTTCTATTTAGGCGAGTCTATAAATTTACAGATGATTGCTAATTTATTAGCAACTGTTATTAGCAATCAGGAAGATATGAAAAAGACTCAAACAATCGATACAGCACACAAATTTAATAAATTCGTTGCAAACCTAATTTAAATGATCGTATTTCTGCAGATCATCCAGAAGGTATTCCATTACCAGCTAAGTCAATGGAAGAAATAGATATTGTAACACAGAAGCTGGAAAATTCCGCAATAAAGAAAGTAGTTGTAATAATAATTATTTACAAAATGTTTTAAATACAGTTTATTTAATAGTTGTAAACAGTGCAGTTGTGATTGACTATTCAATTTTTTAATTATCTGGGCACCATAACTTGCACCAAACTTTTATTTTAGGGCAAACATATTGCTGATATTGGTAAAGAAAGTCAATGCCCATGCTGGTCAATGCCCATGCTGCTAGACAGCCGTGTTGCTCATAGCTTCAATTTGACTGGGCAAAAAGGAAAACAAGTTTTTAAAACAAATGTGCTTCATTTAGTTCTTTGTAGTGAGTATAAATTTGGTTTATATATATATATATTAATTTGTGTAGAGCTGTTAAGTCTGCCCAATATAGACCTTATTAACCCGTTAATAGTCCAAGCCATAATACTAAAAGTGGTTTCTAAATGTCCATGCTGTAATATTACGGTTTTTTGCACCTCTTTATATTTTCTTCTTGTTCATCAGTTATTCTACGTCTACTTGTCACAAAAGTTATTACTAGATAATTACAGAGCTTTTGTTTCAATAATTGTTTTTTAAACGTGTTTAATTTAATTTTCATTATGACAATTAAAGAAGTTTTTTCAGTGCAAAAATAATTATTAAAAAGTAAATATTTACTCATGAATAGAATTAAATAGAATTTTATACATTTGATGAATCAAAAATGCAAAAATATACTTAATGAATGATTATTGAAAATAATAATAAAAGAATAATGCTCAAAGGTGGTGTGCGGTATGTTACAAACACAATACACACAATCCATCAAGATCTTAAGATAATCGAAGATCGTTACCAAGAACATTGGGACATAAACATTATGGCAGACTACTATTTAGCCATTAAGCGAGAAGACACAGGAAAAGTTTATAAACGAAAGAGCAACAAGCAAAAGTTTTTTCCTGATTAAGTAGTTGTAAATAAGCAATATAATCTGCAATCTTTTTTAAAACTAAAGTAAAAAAGATTTTGATCTTTCACTAAAGTAAAAGATCAAAATCTTTTTTAAAATATGATTATCAATAAAAAGTTAATAACTTTGCTAGGACTTGGATATTTGAAAAGTATTTTTCTTAATCAGTTTACATTTAGTTTCATTTGCTTTCTGTTTTTGTTTTAGTTTTGTAAATGTGTGTCAAATCTGAATTTTAGAACTATTTTTTTAAATTATAAATCTGATATATATGATTATAATATATATATATATATATATGATATAATATATATGATAAATGTTTCTTATCTACATAAACGATCTTCCTGACAACCTTTCATCTAAAGTAGCTCTTTTTGCTGATGACTCAACTTTATACTCCTGTCATGACAAAAAGTCTTCTCTTTTCGATCGCCTAGAACAAGCAGCTGATCTTGAATCCGATCTCACTTCAGTAATACATTGGGGTTCACAGTGGCTTGTGAATTTCAACTCTAAAAAAAACCCAGTTGCTTACTGTCAACAACTACCGTAATATGGTCAACATTCCTATATTAATGAATGGCAATACTCTTACTGAGTCCTCCTCTTTACGTCATCTTGGATTATCGCCTACTACTGACCTTTCATAGAAACCATATATACAATCGATTGCTAAATTAGTTTCTGCTAAGGTTGCTTCTCTTTATCGTGCTCGCCATATCCTTACTTTTGATTCCATTCTCTACCTCTACAAATCTCTTATTCGTCCCTGTATGGAATACTGTTGTCATATTTGGGCTGGGACTTCTAACGATTCACTTTCTCTTCTTGCCAAGGTCCAAAAACGCATTGTAAATGTTGTTGGGCCTGGACTATCTGCTAAGCTTGAGCCTCTTTCCCATCGTCGTAAAGTTGCATCTCTTTCTCTTTTCTACAGAAACTATCATGGTCACTGCTCAAAGGAGTTATCATCTCTAGTTCCATCAACTAAAATTCATTCTCGTTTTACTCGTCATTCAGCTAAGTCTCATTTGTTTACTGTATCTGTCCCTGCATGCTCTAAAAACTTTTATTCATCTAGTTTTTTTCCCCGCACTTCAATCCTTTGGAACTCTCTCCTATCTTCATGTTTTCCTGACTCATACAACCTTCAACTTTCCAAGTCTTCTGTCAACCATTTCCTTGCTCTATAACTCTGTTCTTTTTTTTTCCTAGTAACTCCCAACTTAATAGTGGTTGCTTGCAGCCTTGCTGGGAGTAAATGCAAAAATAAAAAAATAATAATAATAATACGATTATAGTTTAATAGAAATTATATCATTTTATATATTGGAATAAAATTACACTTGTTTTTTTATTAAAAACAATTTATTCAAATAACTCTCTTCAGAAAAAAAACTATTCATTCAAATTTATCGTTTAAATAAATTTTAATAACATGTACAGTTCAACAAATTTTTTCTCAGTATTTTACTCAGCCTTAATGTATATTTCTAAAAGTATATCATGCTTACGATTTTAAATAAAAAGTGTATATTTATATAAACAGCCATAACTCAAGAACCTTTAGTTTTTTAAGCTCTGCGTATACAAACTTTTTACTTAACATTAAATTAACTTTCGAATGGTAAATCAAACTCATAACTTTAGCAATAGAAAAACTTTAGCCATTTTGTTCTAATATTAATAGAAAAACAGACCTAATATGGCAATTCCTGTTCTCAAAAACATGGGGCTTTTTATTTGGTCATTGCTGATACGCTAAGTAACCTTGAGCAAAATCCTAACTTTATATGATTTTTTTTCCGGGATTGGAGGTGTTTTGAACTAATTCCACCATACCAAATCTTGAATTTTTTTTTTATGCAATTCATCAGAAAAAAAATAATAAACAATTATGGAAAGTAGATGAATCTAAACTATATTTTTGACACCATGTTACACCATGTTTGACAACATATTATTTGACGCCATGAGTCACTTATATTACTTAATCTAAAATCATTATATACATTGCATGTTGCAAAGAGTACAATGCTGTATGCTTTAAGTTGATTCAAAATGTACATGTTAACCATTTATTGGATCTAGACAAAGAAAATTACTTCGTTTACAGAATTCTGAAGAATTCAAGCAGTTATATTTTGAAAAATACTGTAATTTGGTTCAAAAAATACATTCTTATTATTTATTGCACTTACACAAAGTAAATTCCATGGTTCGTAGAATTTTGAAGAATTTGATCAATTGATTTTCGAAGGTAGTACTTATAAACATCCTTTGGAACACAAAACGTACAAAATAATTCTAAATGTATCTTGCAACAGTTTTATGACTTAATCTAACACTTATTGCATTTTTTTTCTTAGCATCGTCAGAAGCAAGATATCTTAATGTTATAATATTTCTTCAGCAGATGCAACTGCGCGTCTTTGAAGGAGCAACATAGAATAATAATACTTTAAAAGTTTTAAAACTAAGGCAAAAACTCTATATATTACCAATATATTTATTGGAAAATAACTTTAAAATTTTTAATAATAATAAAATAGTTACTTGGCGATTAACACTTAAATCCACATAGCATATACATACTTTTCAACATTTTTTTAATAAAAGCCACTTTTGCAATACCAGTAACAAAGCTAAGTTCATTTTAAGCACCTTCCTTATGTTCAAATACACTTTTTTGAACATCTAATATAAACATTTACAATTATACACGGCGAGTGAAGATTTATTCCGTTTGAGTCGAGTTGATTGAGAAAGACAATTTTGCGCAGAAATTTACACGAATCCACAGTATATTGTAGTTTTCCTCCACCGGCGTTCGGCCTATTTAAGTGTTAATAATAATTTAAAAACTAAATTATTCGCACAAAACCCGACAAACATTTCATCGAGTTAACGTTTATTATAACTGCATTAATGTCAATTAGCCTAAGGAAGAATAATGTTGATATGTGATGGTCGGCAAAAAAGTTGAGGAAAACGTTATTCAGAGTGAACTCTCCAAATCTATGTCGGTTTGGCAATTGCATCTTTTAACATCGTGTTCAATTTTTTGTCCGTTTTCTCTTTGCTATCTTTCTAACACGACTATTTCTGCCTACTACTGGGTATGTTACAAAAAAATTTGAATTGATTAATTACTAGATTGTTATATATCATTGGAAAGAGCTTTAGTATAGTATTTTAATAGTGAAAAAATTATCAAAATCGAACCATTCGTTCAAAAGTTATGACAGTTTAAGTACCGATTTTTCGATATATGGATTTGTTGAAGAAACTGTGGTCAAAATTAAGTTTTTCTTTGCGTAAATTGTTATAATTTTGTCAGTTCTTATCAAAACGTCTATAACTTGGTATCAAAAGAAAGGTGTAAGAGTGGGCTACAAATTTATAATAGTTTTAACCAACAGGGCGTATTCAGGGGGCTAGAGGGGGCACCGAACCACCACCTACACAGTCGAAAAATTCATTTTTTAAAATAAAACAAGCTTATTTTAATGAAATTTGTAATTTTTATATACAAGAAATTGTTATAACTTGCTACCAGATCATTGCCAAATGATCTGGTAGCAAGATCATCACCCCCTCCCCGCCTCTCCAATCTAAAAAAAAAAATTTAAGTGCAATATTAATAAATTTAAATTAATATTATTCATAATATAAATTAGTATAAAATTTCTTTACTATATTACAAGATGCATCAAAGTATCCATATTTTTAGTAAATGGAGCATTGTAACCACCTCCCACTTTAATCTAAAAGAAAAAGAAAAACTCAATATTGTTTTGAAAAAAAAACGTAATTAATTTGTCTTGGCTTTTAGTAAATGATTAAAAATTTAAATTTCAATAATGAAATTTAATAATAATCATTGTTAACGATAGACACGACGAGAACGTAAGCCAGAGCCGTCTATCAAAAAAATGTTAAACCACTTGCAGTTTAGTCATTCCATGCCAAATCAGCATGACACGTCACTTTCTACTTTTGGTTCTTTAAATTTTCACATTATTTTTATTTTTTTGTTAATAAAAAACCTTTTAAAAAAAAAAAAAGTCCAATATTTTGTATAAATACTTTAAAAAATTAAAACATTTTGTAATGTGAAGGACTATACACTAAATTTCATTTCAAAAAAAATCTATTCTATATTTACTCAAACAACTTTTTAAACAGTGTAATACATGTGAAAACTAACTAAGGAATAAAAAAGTTGACATGTGCAGGCTAACCTGGAAGGACTTAGTGCCTTTTTGCAAGTCACACCACCTGCAGCACCTAATTTGCAAGTCACACCACTTGCAGGTACCTTTTTGCAAGTCACACCACTTGCTGTACCTATTTTGCAAGTCACACCACTTGCTGTACCTATTTTGCAAGTCACACCACTTGCTGTACCTATTTTGCAAGTCACACCACTTGCGGTACCTATTTTGCAAGTCACACCACTTGCTGTACCTATTTTGCAAGTCACACCACTTGCTGTACCTATTTTGCAAATCACACCATTTGCTGTACCTATTTTGCATGTCACACCACTTGCGGTACATATGCAAATAATATACATTTACAAATCATTTATCTTTATTTATATATAATAAATACTTATACCATAAAACTAATATTATTACAGTTCATCATATGGGAACATTTAAAACTACATAGTCAATTTATGAAAATATCAACTCTCCTGATATAACATCAGCTGCAAGTTGGAACTTTATCATACAATAGTCAACAACTTCTGAATCGGTATCTTCATTTTTCCAGTAAGAAATAGTAAATATTTTGTCGTCTTTTCTTCTATTTACTTTTTCTACTCGCCCATCATACATGACAGACTTGCTATTATCTGCATCAAACCATTCATGGCAAAGTTCTCTTCCAACAATTCTTTCAGACATTACATCATTTAAGTCAGAAAGTTGCTTGATAGACAAGTGCTTATATAAATCCTTCATATCATTAAAAGATTGCACACGTAAATCTCGCTCCAGCTTTCTTTTTTCTTTTTCATCCATTTTTTGTCTTTTGCATGCCTGTCTTTTTGAAATCTCTGCTCGTAAAGCAGCATGGCCTAGTCGATTTGTTATTCTTTTTTTACGACTTGCATTAATAGACCACTTAACTACATTTTCTCTGTATATTGGGTCTAGACTTTCTAGATAATCTATAGTCTTATTCTTTTTTGATCTTAATTTACAAGATATATAACAAATTGTTGCATGTGGGGATCTTCCTTTAGCTTCGCTAAACATACCTATTAATTCTTCACTATCAATATTGTGAAGTCTTGCACTAGCTGTCTCCTCCTTGAGTATTGCTGTAATAGAAAGAGAAAAGTACCTTTTATATTGTCGAATTAAGACATCCTGCACTGCCTTAAGACAAGCAGAAATCATCTTCATTATCTGGTCATCAATGGCACATAAAGTTGTAATTGGTTCTAAAATATTTGGTAAAAGCGGTTCCCCAAAATAATCTTTTGTTCTACAAAACAGCTCAGCTGGATTAGATTCGCAATCTTTTAGTGTTGTTAAAATATTCTTTACTACTTGGATACCAGTGGCATGATCAAAACTTGCATCCACAGCTGAGACATAAAACTTTGTCATCCAAGGTCCAGTGAGAAGTTTTCCAAACATTCCAAGTACACACATTTGTTTTAATGCAGTTGCATTACAAAATGCTGTTCGCAAAACTAATTGCAAAGTACCGCATTTTACTGTTCCAGTAGTCAGAAAACGTAGAAAATCAGCATAGTGTTTTATAAAAATAAAACATGTATGGAAAAGAATATGAAGACGGTTTCCTCGATATCTTGGAATAATACATCGTGGTAGTTTGTTATTGTCTAAAAAATTAACAAACCCTTGAGGATCACCTTTGACATCTTTGAACCTCATTTTGTTCATGGCCAAAACAATTTTAACTGCCATGCAATCATTTCCAAATAATTCACAAGTTTCAGATTCTAAAGACTTTAATGCTGAACGACATTCAGTGGCAATTGTGTCAAGAGGGTGCAAGTGGCAATTTAGTTCATTCAGATTTTTCCCCCAGGCTTCACAAACTTTGGTTACGGTTAGATGGTTTACTGCTACTCTGTCTGACATTGTGTTTGATATATTTGAGATGATCAAATTACGACATTTGTCAAAAGAAAGTAAATGAAAATCTGAATAAACTGAAGCCATATGATCAACTGCCATACATTTATGTTTTTCATAATCATCAGCCGTCCCTCCAGGCATTTGGTCCAGAGCAATGACCTGACATTTATTCTTTGATGTTAGGTGAACACTGTTAACATGAACACCTTCTTGTGTGGTCGCATCAAAACCAAGAGTAAGATTATTATTACTGATAGCCCACTCTGCTGCTTGCAGGTCTGATATACTGCCAAGCTCACGAGCCATTTGCTCAACAGTACTACGCTGCGGAATTTGCAAACATTCAACACCAAAATATTGTACAATTTTCTCAAATAGAAATGGAATGTTACCTGTTGGAACATTAGATAATAACATGCTATAAATTATCATCCTAATTTGTAATGTATAAGTCTTACCACCACCTGACATAAATCCAACTGTACTATCACCCTCCTTCATTTGGGTCATATCATTTTCTAATCTAGCAATTGAAATTTTGTTTTCTCTAATAGAAATATTATGCGTATAATATTTTCTCTAATAGAAATATTATGCGTGAGCATTACCTGCCTTAACTTTTCTCTCTCTTTAATTTTTCTTGCCTTTATTGTAGTTATAAGATTGCGAATACACCTACTGTAGTAATATGTTTGCAATTTTTGTTTTAGGTCTCTAACTTCTGCTCTTAAAGCTTTTATGATTTCTTCTTTTCTTTTAACACTTTGTCTAAAAACTTTTAATTTATATGGCATACTCTTTAATTTTGCTTTCACTAAAACTATCTTATTTCGGTAATTTCTAGAAGAACTAGCAAGCATTGAAGATAAGTCTGACAACCTTTTTTTAAATATTTTTTTCTCTGTGGTAAGTTTTTCTCTTGAAGTAGGCTTACTTTCCAAGTTTAAAGTTTTGCTTGTAGAAGCTAAAGGTTCACTAATAATTGGAGATAATATGTCGATGTGTTTTGATGTTGCAACTGAAGAACACGAGAGAATATAAACATTACTACTAGGGGTAGGCTGTAATGACTGTCTGGTTGTCAAGGCAGGTTTATGGAAAGCAAAGGGTTCATTGCAAAAAGCAAAGAAACGTTTAGAATCTCTTTTGTAGTTGACAGCCAGTTTTTTAGCTATATTCACAAGACTTTGAATATTACTTGCAATTGTGTTAAAGCCAAAATATTTATTGACTTTTTCAACGGTTTTGGTATACAATTCACCATTGTCAATAAATACAAAAAGTATATGTCCGTTTCTACACTCATTATTTGTATCAGCAGACAATTGAAAGCTATCAACTAAATGTTTTTTAAACTTTCCATTAAATACAAGCAACTTTTTTTGGGGGGCCATAATACCTATAAAAATAATAAATATGAATAAGTATTAAGCATCTGGGTAATAACACCAACAGGAGACTGGAAAAGGCTTTATAAAATAAATCATACCTTTTTTTTAAACTAAAGTAGATGAATAAAAAAGGAGAAAACTTGTTGAATAATAAACTATGTTTTCAATATCAATTTAAATGTTATTAACTGTAAATAAAAGGCACAATAAAAGTTAAACTACTCCAGTTTTGAACAAAATATTTTTCCAAAAAATAAATGTTATATTTTGGAAAAATATTTTGTTCAAAACATTAATAGTTTATGATACATCATTGGTCTCAGTATTAACAATACTGACACCAATATAGTCTCATTATTACCAATAATGAAAAATAATATAATTATGATATGTAATTAACAAGTATTTGATTGCAATTTAACTAACAATAAATTATATATATATATATATATATATATATATATATATATATATATATATATATATATATATATATATATATGTATATATATGAAACACTGTAAAATGAAAAAAAATTTTTATTAAGTGATTTTCTACTAATTTACATTTCAAAATTGTTTAAATAAATAAATATATATATATATATATATATATATATATATATACATATATATATATATATATATATATATATATATATATATATATATATATATATATATATATATATATATATATATATATATATATATATATATATATATATATAGTATTATAAGTATAAAAATGTCAGCATATTATTAGTTGAAAATAAATATCTTTTTACTTTAATTAAGATAACTTGTGATACCTTTTTGCTAGTCATAACAATAGTGGTATACATTCTTAAAACACTTTCCATATCAAGACATATAATTGAAATATCATTATTAATTATTAAAACAATTTATGTAAAAATCTAAAGAGAAAGTTATTTGTAAATAAAATATTTTACTACATAAAAAACCTAAACATATTTTAAATAGACTTTATACCATAAAATAACGTACAAAATACTAAAAATCTTTTGATTGCAGTTGCTAGGAACGTATTTAAAAAGAAATTTTTAAATGATAAAAAGACAAAATGATTCTAATATTGATGTGAACTCTAATGATTCTAATTTTGTTGTGTTTATTTATAACTCTTGCAAAAATAAAATAAATCAACTTTTTAATATCATAATAGAGATTTGCAGAAAGATTTTAAGAGAGTGAGTTATGCTTTTGTTACTTTTCTGCGGACAATACATTAACACATTGAAGAAAGAACTAACTTTTATTAACAAAAAATCTTATATTTACAAAATAAAAACGAACAAAAATATAAACTTTTAATTTAAATAATAATTAAAAGTGCTTCCGCTGCTGCCTCCTCTATTGCCACGTCTCCTTTCCTGATGCCCTCGGTTGTTTGACCCAGCACCCGAGTAGGGATGCCACCTAAAATGTGGATAGTCCTCCCCACCATTCCGGACCCAACTCAAAAAAGATTTGTTTGATCGGGGTCCTGGATGCTGGGACCGATAGGTTAAATAATCAGCATATGTAAGTGCTGAAAGAGAAATATAAATGTATGCAGTTTACTGAAGAATATAAAGAACATTTATAATAAATTAGACAATTATGAAAACATAGAAAATTATTATTTATTTTGCAAGGAAAATATTCTCTTTTATATATATATATATATATAAATTAGAAGTGAATCTTACTAGTGACAACAGGAGGAGACACAACTAAAGAATACAAGAAAATGTATTATATTGATAATTTAAAATTATTAATAAATTATTATTTGTTTTATAAAAAAAACAAGAAGCAACCAACCTTAAAACGTTACTTAATTTAAAATTATAAATAAGTAATAATTTGTTTTATAAACTAGAAGCAACCTTACCAGTGGTAACAGGAGGAGGCACAACTAAAGATTACAAGAAAAAAGGTGTTATATAGAGTGAATGTTTCAAATTTAAGCTAGTTATCATAATGTAAAAATTCTATAATGTAAAACCTTACAAGTAGAACTAGATCCACTAGAGTTCACTAAATAAGAAAGATAATAAAAATTGAAAAATTTTTTGAACTTAAAATTATTTTTCGATTAACACTATTTAATTCATCTATGAAATATAATCTTCAAAAATCAAATAAAGTTAAAAACTAGCCAAAATGTCTACTCGACAATTTATTAAACTTTATATCACTTACTGTTTCTCATGAAATCCTCTAAAAATAATAACAAATTCAATTAAACTAAATCTAGAGTTTTTAATTTACTACAAATTAAAAAAATTAATATTGGTTACAAGTCACTAAACTTTGGGCAATTAAACAAGTAATACAACTAAAATTTAATTTTTCTTACGCATTGTCTTTTCTAATTGATCTTCTAAATGACGTATAGAGAAAAAAAGCGATAGTAAACAAAACTATCAATATATTGCATGGATAGCATAAGAAATGCTGGAGAAGGACAATGTATAAAACTTTTATCTACAAATTAAACTGATTCAATAAAAAAACACTGTAAAAAAGTACTGAAAGAAATAACTTAAAACAAGAATACTAACTGAATATTTTTTCTATCGCATGTTGATCTAAAGAATCAAAAAAAAACAATGTAATAAATTTATTTTATAACTAAATGTTATGAAAGAGCTATAGAAATTACTAAAGAAATTAACTAACTGGTATTAAAAAAGGTATCAGTTGCTTTGTCAGATTCTGACAAAGTCAACTTCCTCATTTCATTTTCGCTTGATGACATAATTTAATTCTAGAATAATATTAATATTATTAACGTAGAAGCTACTTTAATAAAGTAGCTTCTATGTTAATAATAATAATATTAATATTATTACATTACAGTTTTTTATTGTTATAAAGACTTTATAACAATAAAAAACTGTAATGTAAAATCTACAAATAAAACTAGATCTAATAAACTTTATTGGTAATCTCTTTTAATAATACTATTATTTTTACATTACTAACACATTTACACAATATGTAATTAATTATTATTTTTTGATAATTATATTTATTAATGATAATTATTTATGATATATATATTTTTTTAATAATAACCTCTGAAAGATTTTTTCAATGTTATAAATAATTCAAGTACTTATTATATAAAAGGCTTACATACATATATTAAACAAATATTAAACTTCGTATAAACCTTTTTCTCCCTCCCCCCCTATCTCTCCAAAATCGGTATGAAAAAAAATAAAATTAGGTACCTAAAGTGCAGGTAAAAATAGGGAATATGCTGGTCAAAATAAAGCCTTGAAATTTGGCATGCTCATAGAAAATGTATAAACTTAAGCAAAAGAATAGGATAGAAAAAAATAAGAACATATCTTCAACATTTATTAGGCTCATGAAATGCAATACAATTTTAGATGTCAATAAATTCTATATTAACATTTCTCAATAAAGAAAACAACTAAACTGTAAAATAATTTGACTATTCTATTTTTTAAAAATACTCTTTGTTAATATAAAATTCTAAAAAATCATTCAACAAAACACCATCCTACCATACCAACAAAACGCAAAGTTCGAAAAACGTGGAACAGTATTTTAGCACATAAATCGGTTCCGTAAAACGCGTTTTTCGGCATACCTACTACTACACTTAACATATCTTCGTTCTTCCAGAACTCAGCTTTATCTCGGTCTTCAGAGTCTGTTACGACACTCCTTTAGGAGCTCGAACAAGTCTCTGCAGACCTAGGTATTGTGATAATAAAATATCACCGCACCAGTAGAAATAAGGAAAGCGAGGATGCGTTTTGAAAAAAATGTTGTTTTTTTAACAAACAATATCCAGTATGTTTGTTTTTTAACAAAATACATGGGTGATTTGATATTCTAAACATTTAATAGTGCATTTCCTAGTTTTATTAAGATGATGTGATATTCTAACATTCGAAGCGCAATCTAGTTTGTTATTTAAAAAAATACACATGGGTTATGCAATATTCTAAACATGTAACAGTATATTTTTTAATTTTATTAAGGTGATGTGATATTCTTACATTCTAAGCACTATCTTGAATTTTGGTTATTAACAAAATACATTGGTGATGTAATATTCTAAACATGTAATAGTGAATTTTCTTCTTTTATTAAGGTGATGTAATATTCTAACATTCCAAGCACAATCTAGTTTGTTATTTTTTAACAAAATACATAGGTGATGTGATATTCTAAACATATCATAGTGTATTTTCTAGTTTTATTAAGGTGATGCGATATTCTAACATTCTAAGCACGATCCACTATGTTGATTTTTAACAAAATACATATGTGATGTAATATTCTAAACATGTAATAGTGTATTTTCTAGTTTTATTAAGGTGATGTGATATTCTAACATTCCAAGCACAATCTACACCTTTTCAAGATGTAATTGAGAAAACAAAAATTGTAATTAAGAATCGTAAGATGTAATTGAGAAAACAAAAGTTGTAATTAAGAAACGTAAGATGTAATTGAGAAAACTTAAGTTGTAATTAAGAAACATAAAATGTAATTTAGAAAACGAAAATTGTAATTAAGAATCGTAACATGGAATTGAGAAAATGTAAGTTGTAATTAAGAAATAGAAAGATGTAATTGAGAACACGAAGATTTTAATTTAGATATCGCTTTAAATGAGTAAGTGTAAAATGGCGCTTACAAAATATTGTCGCGTAAAAAAATGAAGCGTATAAAATGACGCACTTAAAAATGACGCAAGATTTGTAGCGTAAATTTAATTTTTTGGGGAAAAATTTATAATTGTTGGGCAAATGAATTTAACATAATAAAAACACTAAAAACATCTTCGGGAAAAGTTTATAATTCAATTAAAAATTATAATTAAAAATTATATTTTCAAAAATCACTTCATTGATCATTTAAGCACGAACTTGTACGTCTTCCATATTTAAAATAGTTGCATAGTGCGTGGTTGTGTGTTGTACCGCAGGTGCACAATCTCCTCCCATTATAGTATTTTTCGCCTCAATTACAATCCGTTCTAAGTACTGCATGCGCTGTTCCGCAATCCCGTCACCTAATACAGGTGGAATCCGAATTGCATTTTTAACGTTACTTTTAATTTTAGACCAGATCGTTTCCACCGGGTTCAACATTGGACTGTAAGATCCCAAACGTAACAACTGAGCTGGTGAATTATCAAACACCTTTTGCAAACGAGCGTGACAAGGAGCATTATCTGTTACGACGACCAAATTCTCCAAACGATTCCCGGATTTAACCCACTGGTGAAACATAGCCAACATCCACTCGTTACAGGAATCTGCTTTATATGATCCCCTGCGAGTTTCTATCATGACGACATTTGTAGTTGAAATAGCTGCGATCAAGTGTATGTTTAAACCTTTTGAAGCAGGTACTTTCATAATTGCTCTTTTGCCTTGTCTCGCGCGTCCTTGCGTTTTTCTACAAAAAAGGTTAAAATTTGTTTCATCCAACCAAACTATCTGACGACCATTTGTGCTATGTTCGTTGTTGTTTTTAACATATTCAGCTCTTTTTGTTTGTTTTCATAACTGTTCATTGTAGAAGGCTCTTTGTGCACTTTTTTTAATAAGAACAATCTGCCTTCGAGGTAATTTGCTATTGTTGTTGTGCTAACGTTTATGTTAAATTGTCTTAATATCTTTGTTTTGATGGCCACCAATGTTAATTGATAATCATTTTCAATCCATGTTAATGTTTCTTCGATTTGATCTTCGGTCAACTTTTTCGGTTTAAAACCTCCTTTTCTGATGAAATTTGAATTTCCGCTGCGAACCCAATTGTTTGCTGTGTTATATTTGATACCTAGCGTTTGCGCGAGATTCACCCAATCTTCAAATCGCTTCGCACATTCAACAACTCTTCTCCTGTCATTTGGAGAAGATAAAACGTAACGTTTCCTTTCAACTTGTTCAGTTGTGTGTATTTCATGCCGACAAATCGGACAACTTGAATCTGGTTGTTCCAGAACTGGACGTAAACAAATTTGGTGACATAAATGTTGACACGGATTTAGCTTAATCACAGACTTTTGGGTCATAGTGTATTGGCATATAACATAAGGATCTTTCAATTCCATTATTATTACTTGTGCATACAAAAGCAAAATTTAAGATTATAACTTAAATTCATGTCCAAAAAGACCTTTTGTAACAACCTACAAACTTAGACTGTAAATTTGCTATTTTAATTTATGTGTTCTCAATTACAAGTTACGATTTCTCAATTACATATTATGATTTCTCAATTATATCTTACGTTTTCTCAATTACATGTTGTGTTTCTTTATTACATGTTACGTCTTCTTATTTACATGTTGTGTTTCTCAGTTACATATAACCTTTTCTCAATTACATGTTGTGTTTCTTAATTACATATTACGACTTCTTAATTACAACTTTCATGTTCTCATTTACAACTTGAAAAGGTGTAGTTTGTTATTTTTTAACAAAATACATTGGTGATGTAATATTCTAAACATTTAACAGTGTATTTTCTAGTTTTATTAAGGTTATGCGATATTCCAACATTCTAAGCACTATCCATAATGTTGTTTTTAAACAAAATACATGGGTGATGTAATATTCTCAACTTCAAATAGTGTATATTTTAATTTTATTAGAGTGATGTGATACTCTAACATTTTAAGCACTATCTAGTATGTTGTTTATTAACAAAAGACATGGGTGGTGTAATATTCTAAACATGTAATAGTGTATTTTCTAGTTTTTTAAGGTGATGTGATATTCTAACATTCTAAGCACTATCTAGAATGTTGTTTTTTAACAAAAAACATGGGTGATGTAATATTATAAACTTCAAATAGGTTATATTTTAATTTTATTAAGGTTTTAAAATAAAAAATAAAAAAGTAAAATTTAAAATAACATTTTATTAAGCACAATCTAGTTTGTTATTTTTTTAACAAAATACATGGGTGATGTAATATTCTAACCATGTAATAGTGTATTTTCCAGTTTTATTAAGAGGATGCCATATTCATACATTCTTAGCACTATCTAGTATGATGTTTTTAAACAAAATACATGGGTTATGTAATATTCTAGATTTCAAATAGTGTATATTTTAATTTTGTTAAGGTGATGTGATATTCTAACATTTAATTTTGTTAAGGTGATGTGATATTCTAACATTCTAACCACAATCTAGTTTGTTCCTTTTTTCACAAAATACATGGGTAATGTAATATTCTAAACATATAATACCGGTAGCATGCCATATATTTCTTTAAGGCAATGAGATATTCTAAGGTTCTTAGCATTAAATACAAGTAATTATAACATTTATGAACAATATACATGGAGGATGTGATATTCAAAATATTTGTTTCTTATAGTGTGTAATATATT